AACTAACAGTCACAGGGGGAAATGGCTTCGTGTGTTACAGGTTGATAGCAAACTGTTATTATGCATGAGATAAAAAAATATTTCTTTTTTTGACCATAGGGCTACTAAGAGAACGGCTAGAGATAGAGCAATTTAAACATCACCATCGTGCTCCGCGTCGCAATTTTACCCGGAAAAGTGTTTTTATCGCGTATTAAAACACGCCCTTGGACTCTGCTCACGGAGCACTCTAACTAACTTCCTCCGGCCAGGAGGACAACTTCCGGCCGGAACATTCTCCGGCCGGAACAACCTCCGGCCGGCGTCTGAACTACGGCCGGAAAGTGTTCCAATTTACGGGCGGAGGAGAGTTACGGACGGAACTAATACGACCGGAAGAGTTACGGCCGGAAATATTACGACCGGAATTTTCACCCGGGTGGCCCCGCAGGCTCCTTCACTTCTACCCCGTTCCACCCACGCCTACCCCCCACCACCCCTTACCCCCCACTTTTTCCCCGACGCCTTTCCGTCTGAAACATTTGCGGGAGCCGTCGCGATAACGTAAATCACGACAGTACGTGAGACCATCCCCAATCCGGGCCGCGCCGCACGTCCCAGCGCGCCCCGCCCCGCCCCGCCGAGCCGTCGCGATAACGTAAATCACGACAGTACGTGAGACCATCCCCAATCCGGGCCGCGCCGCACGTCCCAGCGCGCCCCGCCCCGCCCCGCACGGGCCCCACAAAAGTTGTGAACATATTGAGGGAATGAGGTTACCCGGAAACCGCGACCAAAACTTTTTCTTGCGCCCAACATTTTTCAGGGCGCGGTGGGGCAGCGAGGGGAAACAGAGGGGGATATCGGCGACAGTTATACGCGGTGGAGGGGGGAGGGGATTGGGGGGAAGCAGCCAAGCGATTTGGTCGTCGCAACGTGGGTAGGGTTTAGAGGGATGCGGGCCGCGCAAGCCTAGCCTGCTGCCTGGCGTGCTGATGTCTGTTTCGACGCATGTCAGAGGGGTTGCTTGAAAGGAGACCTGTTCGACGGACAGGCTTTTGAGACGGAACTTGTTAAATGGGCGGGCGGATGGGAAGCACAATGACGTGGTAAATGTAAAATCTGTAGGCGGTAGTACCCCCACCACCATGCTAGCGCCCCCACCGCCACGGCCGCGCTCAACCCCACACCGCCTTGCTGCACACAGCCCTGCTGCTGTCCCGATGACGACGGGCGCATCCAACGGGAAAAGGACGCGCCACACACACCACCACCACCACCACCACCACCGACGGCGGCGTCGCGGCGCTGCGCGGCACTTTTGACAAATCGATGACAGCCGAGCGTCGCGGCGGCCCGCGATGTGACAGCAGGCTGCCGTGACGCGGCCGAACCCGCCCCGGGCCTCTGTCGTGACGCCTCCATTATCAGCGGGATGATTGGTAGGATCTGCGGCGGGAGGTGGGCGGGCCGGGGGCGGGCGCGCGGGGTGCTACAGGTCTCGGACCACCAGCCAGTGATGACGCAAGTTTTCAGCATCGTTAGGCCGGGCGAAAGCAGAGCAGGGAGGCGGAGGCGGCTGCACCCCTCCCGGCTTCCCCTTCCGGAAAAGATTCGCCCTCCGCCCGCCTCCCTGCTCCCCGTCTCTGCCGCCGCCCTGCCTCTCCCTTCCCTTCCGGTCACCATCAGGTCTAATCTTTATCGGCGAGCTGGGGCCGGGCAAGGGCGAGGGCCTCGCGGGCGCCGATCGGGCCGGAGTCATCATTTCATGACGGTCTCCCAACCTACCGCACCCCATCGACGGCCCGCCGGCCGCGCCGGCCTCACGGGAGCGGGGGGCGATTGTGCGCATCTATAAAGTAGCTGCGCTGCGCCCTCGACTCGGGGATACAGTCGATAGCCCCGGCCAGCCACTCTGCCCCGGCAGCGGGAAAGGGGGGGGAGGGGGGCAGGAAGTGCGGAGGGTAGGTAATCGTGGGGGCGGGGCGGGGAGCGGCGGCGGCAAGGCAGTCCAGCTGGTGGCGACGGGGGGAGCGGGGCCCGCCTCCGCCGCTTGCCAATTCCTCTTCCCTCGCAAATATCAACCTGTCTTGGCCTTCCTTCCCCTCGCTTCCCGAATGCTTCCCCGGGGCGCACGGCGGCCGCCGGGAGTGGCTATGTGCACCGCTCCGCACATACCACCCGGGCAGAGATTCCTCTCAATCACTTTTAAAACATTTCCCCGACGACATTCCACAGGCGTCATCGCGGTGCCCGCTCCCCCTCAGCCGGGACATGTCCTCGGTAGGAAGATAAAAGGACCCCGCACAGGAGACGCCGCGGCGGCTGCAGCGGTAGTGATTTTTGCCGGCGGCTGTTTTCATAGCCTCCCCCCTATTGTGCTCTTATGTCACTGCCTGCTTGCCTGCGGCGCATACCAGTGAGCGTTCCCCCTCCCCCTCGGGTGGCGGGTGAGCACCCCCCTCCCCCTCCCCCCACTGAACCCACCTTTCTCCTACCCTTCGCTGCTGCCCGCCCCAACCCCTTCCAAGACCCGGGCAACTTGGCATTCTCACACATTCCTGGCACGTGCGCCTCGGAGGCTGGCGTAGTTGTTTCAATCTGCAGCAGCGCCCCGGCGTGGCGGGG